GTGAGTTTTGAGACCATGGTACGGCGGCGATCCGTATATGATGGTACGATAACAACCCGGACATGGCAGCGATCCATGTGGAGTGATAACCCCGACTACGGCGGCGATCCGTAGAGGGTTATTGCTATTGGTTGAGTTTTGAGGCCATAGTACTGCGCGGATCCGTATGTGATGGCATAACGACCAGGGCATGGCAGCGATCCATGTGGAGTGGTAACCCCGACTACGGCGGCGATCCGTAGAGGGTTATAACGATATTTTTGTTTTGTTTTATAAAAGAGTTTTGAGCTAAGTCTGAGGGGTACTGAATAGTCCTAGAGTCTGGACTCGTTTTAAAGAATCGAACAAAGAAAACTTAGGAGAAGAACGTGAATCGATAGATTAAGTTTTGTTTGAGTTGAATGTTGATTGAATTGTTTTCTATTTGATTGTCTATTCTGGGTACGGAGGCGAGGTTTATAGTCTTGCAACCTTACTGAGCTATTCGCGTAGCTCACCCCTTCCTTTTCCCCCACAGGTGAAAGGTGAAGCAGATCAAGTGGTAGGACTTGGTAGTTGCAAGAGACACGGTGTTTTAGATTTTTATCTTTATGAGTTCAGTATTTTTAAAGTTATGTTAGAATTTCATTATTGAGACTTCCACTGCAGATTTTGAGATGATAATATGGTATTAAGAATAAACCGAATCTTTCTTTTTAAAACCTAAGTGACGATTCAATGGTTTCCGAAATACCGGATTTTGGGTCGTTACAAAATGTATATTGAAAATAAAGGTTAGACGGGTCAAGTCATATGGGAGTTTAGGTTTGGTAAATATCGCTAATTTTTTTTTAGATAAACTCATATAATAGATATTTACGAGACGATGATAAATTTATCACGAATTATATTTTAAAATTAAAAAAATAATAAAATTATTTTAAATTATCTATATATATTTTCAGACCTTTCTCTCATTGGTCGCATCTGAAGTATCAGAGATACTCACAATGAACATTCGTTAACTAAGCAAAGAGCGACTTACAGATGACAATGTATATAAATATTTGCAATGTTGTATCTTTCAATATTTAAAAATACTTCAAATAAGTGTTACATTTGTTTTTTTACATTTTTTTGTATTTCTATTTTTTTTATTTAATTGTTGTTTAGTGCCAAAGACATTCGGGTGACTGTATGAGACACGAAAGCAGATGATCTCCACACAACATTAGAGAATACATACATACAACCAAAAGTCATTTTGGTGACCAATATCAATCCTAAATTTGTTGGAGGTAATATTTCATAATGTGCGAATTATTTCTCCATATGTTGTTTTAAAATTGGATTTTTTTTGTTATTATTAAAGTTTGTTAATTGCATGTCTCATACCAACGGTTATATCTATTTATATGCATGAATCTTTTTTTAATCCCCGTGCAATCACTAGCATCTTGATATTAACGTTAAATAGAAATCACATATTTTAGGTATTATATTTTATTATTAATAAAACAACCGAAGACAAACACCATAAGAAAAATATACATTCCTTTTAAGTTAAAATTTCTTAAATGTATTTTTTTTTTTATGTAGGGTCATTATATCTCAACACCACGTCAGCTTCCAGATTTTTTTTTGACAATGAAGTCAACGCGAGCAAAACATTTATCATGTATATCTTATAAATTATTATATATATGATGCTTATCAATATGTTATGATCATATATCGTACTATTTGCCCATATGTTTAAAAACAACATCGATGTAACATTAAATATTGAGGAATCGGTCATACAGTTATAAAAATGGAGAGTGTTTCTATATCAAAATTGTGTGATTTTATCACCATGTAAAAAAATCAGGTATGTTGCGTTTCAATAGCCTTAAATCACGTTAAACGCTTTGTTTACAACTTATGTAACATGTATTAATCAACTTAAAATATGTCCGTTCAGTTTTGATTATTGTAATCAGCATCCAAACTTCATCATAAAATAATTTTTTTAATATTTTTTAGGATGCAGATTTTTTATGCAAAGCTACAATTACTGATGTTTTGACTAAAAATGGTTGGACCTACATTGCTTGCGGTAAGTGTAGTAGAAAACTAGCAAAAGCGTCAACATTATTGGTTTGCAACTATTGCCACGACACAAACGCAGTTGGAGTGCTTAGATATTTTTATTGTGGCTTTATTTTATGGTAATGGTTACCTATTTAATGGCCTTTATATTTTGGATGATAAACCATCTGGACACAATTCGATCTATAACATTAGTACCAAGCGGTTTAAGCCGAAC